AGTAAATCATGAAGAGTATGCTACACATGATCAATGTTAACGCAAAGTATGTTATTCTCGACCCGCTTTGCCAGACAGAGAAGAATACTAAAACTGATAGACGTAGGTTGACAAAATAAATTCATTACTCAAAGTCTGCTTGGTATTACCATGTGTTATAAGAAAAAACAAAGTCTGTTTGGTAGTACCATGTGTTATAAGAAAAACAAAGTCTGCTTGGTAGTACCATGTGTTATAAGAAAAAACAAAGTCTGCTTGGTAGTACCATGTGTTATAAAAAAACAAAGTCTGCGTGGTAGTACCATGTGTTATAAGAAAAAACAAAGTCTGTTTGGTAGTACCATGTGTTATAAGAAAAACAAAGTCTGTTTGGTAGTACCATGTGTTATAAGAAAAACAAAGTCTGCTTGGTAGTACCATGTGTCATAAGAAAAACAAAGTCTGCTTGGTAGTACCATGTGTTATAAGAAAAACAAAGTCTGCTTGGTAGTACCATGTGTTATAAGAAAAAACAAAGTCTGCTTGGTAGTACCATGTGTTATAAGAAAAAATTTAGATTTCCCTCTTTCAGCCTAGTGTCCACTTCGAGTTTATACTATCATCACTTCATATTCAGTGAAGTACGTGGCTTATTTGCAAATTCAATAACGTGCAACAATCAACCATTTTGTGGAGAATAACTTCATAATTTTCACAATAGAGTCACCTAGGAGCTGTTTTGTCTTTTATTTCTAGAAAATATTGGATGCAAATATCCTTCATATGGTAAATATTAGAAGCAAATATCCTTCATATGGTAAATATTAGAAGCAAATAAACATCATATGGGGGAGGTTATAAGTGAATAACCAGTGTATGGTAAAGATTATAAGTGAATAACCAACATATGGTAAAAATTATAAGTGAATAGTCAACATATGGTAAAGATTATAAGTGAATAACCAACATATGGTACAATTTCCAAGTGAATAACCAACATATGGTAAATATTATAAGTAAATAACCAACATATGGTAAATATTATAAGTGAATAACCAACATATGGTAAAGATTATATGTACATAACCATCATATGGTAAATATTATAAGTAAATAGCCATCATGTGATAAAAGTTCCAAGTGAATAACCAACATATGGTAAAGATTATAAGTAAATAACCATTATATGGTAAAGATTATATGTACATAACCATCATATGGTAAATATTACAAGTGAATAACCATTATATAGTAAATATTACAAGTGAATAACCATCAGATGGTAAATACTGCACATGAATATCCACCATGTGTTATTGATGTGAAACACTTACCATCTTAGACTGTGTGTGAAGCTGTTCTCTTCTATTTCGGGATTCTTGACACTAAAATAATGGGGGAAAATACGTCAGTTACTGTAATATAAACACCCATATATATAACAGAAAATATTCAATAAGTAAATTAGCATTTTTGTGTTTTAATTTCCTGTCTTCTTTGGTTGAAGATGTTATTTCAACAACGTGCGTTGAGACAACGTAACAGTCTACGATAAGATTCTACTGGCGATTCATCTGGAAGGTTAGTCGGTTATGCAACAAATAAACTCACACTGGACAACCAGCTTAAAACACGATTCATTCAAGCCAGGTATTTATAAGATCAACGTTTCAATCCTTTAAAAACAGCGTAGACGTTAGTTCATAAAGATATTCATTATTACTAATATATATGCAAACTTGCCTTTCTATTCAAAGCTTTCATTAACTAATTTTATCTATCTATACATCTACCTGCTGTTTTTCAACAAAAGCGACAGACTACCCCTTTCCTGGTTCTCACATTTTCTTTCAGAAATTTCGTTACTCAGTTTTGACACGTGAAGTTGATCAAACCTGCCCTTCAAAACGTACTGCGCTCTTTCTCTACAGTTTCAAAGTTTATAAGCGTTAACAAAGTAAAAAAGGTCTTTCCCTACTCAAGCCAAACACGAGGTGATTTATATCATTAAGAAAAAGCTACAAACTTCGCACACTGTTTTTTTTAATTCACGTAAATCGAAACATTCTTATACCTAGATAAGAGAAAAAAAAAGAGAGTTTATAATTCGATCCTTAGCAAGTAAAACAGAGCACTGAGAGATGTATTGATGTATCTTAAGTTTGATTAAAACACAAAATAGTCGTACTGATGTATCTTAAGTTTGATTAAAACACAAGACAGTCGTACTGATGTATCTTAAGTTTGATTAAAACACAAGACAGAGGTACTGATGTATCGTAAGTTTGATTAAAACACAAGACAGTCGTATTGATGTATCTTAAGTTTGATTAAAACACAAGACAGACGTATGATGTATCTTAAGTTTGATTAAAACACAAGACAGAGGTACTGATGTATCTTAAGTTTGATTAAAACATAAGCCAAACGTAATGTTGTATCTTAAGTTTGATTAAAACACAAGACAGACGTATTGATGTATCTTAATGGCATTTGAAAACAAAGGAATAGTGACGAACTTGTGGCACTAGGACCATCTGGAAAGAGACCCATAACAAGTCATACCCTAATTATGGTAAGCAGATTGTGGCGTCCTGTAACAGGAGAGAATCTACAAGTACAAAAGTTAGCGGCAAAAGCCGTTCACATGGCCGAGGCAACAGTACACAACATTATCACAAAGGATCTTCGTCTGGAAAACTGACACAAGACACATGTACATAAGTTTATTCCACGACATATTCATTTAACCGTTATATACCTTAAAAAGCTGGAGAAGAAAGTGTTTTTTTTTCAAAGATACACTGGTCAAGGCAAAAGATACAGTATCTTTGGATTTCTGTGCGACCAAACTGTTGAAATGAGCGTTGGTAAACATCCTCCTCTTAAACTAACTAGGCTAGGGAAAGCAAGATTGAGTGTTTTGGGTATACCAGCCTTACAATGGAACTTTGTAAGCGGAAACTACGCTGCAGCACTATTATCAAGAGGTTTGGTCATCATATAGAGCATGACGGGACGTGGCGACATGGACTGTAACGACGTGATGAGGCTCCAAAATCGTTTTAATATAATATACTTAAGCTCTGTATATATTTAATGGTTGACGAAAGCGTAAAATTTGTACTATATTTTTAATTATGATTTTTAGTATCCTGTTTTGTCAAACTTACTCATATTTGTGTAACTTTAATATTATTTTGTGTTGTATTACTTTCTTTGTTACTTTTCAATTTTCTTAATAAAAAATTGTGATTTGCTTTTATTTTAGTAATTGGTTTTGTCCATTTTTCTTTGCTTGAAATTACACAATTAGCAAAACATCGTGTTGTTCGCCGGTGGGTCAGTGGCAAGTTTCTGGACTTTCAATGCTAAAATTCAGGGTTAGATTCCGACGGTGGATAGAACGCATTGTGTAACTTTGCACTAAAATCAAGAGAAACAACAAGATTAATGTGTAAGCTAGTTTCATATGTTCATATGTGTTACATGTGTTCAACCTTTAGAAATGTTTGTCATACGTGTGTATGGTTTGTCTAGTACATTATGGTGTCTCTAATGTGACAAACAGCTAACCCCCTCAGTGCATTCTGCTAAACCTCTCGATGTATCCAGTTATTCTTCAAACCTTAAGCCTGTTTTGTATATTCATAGTTGTAAGAACACGCTTCACCAAAATATTTTTTAGACTATTAAAAGTTTACAAATATTCCATTATTTTAAACATTTAAAGTTTATTACTTACCAGTTTTTGTCTACCATAGATTTTTTAACAAACACAGTTTACTAAAACTCATTCATTGATAACAGAAAACGCTACCTACATTATTAACAGAAAACAAATAATATTTAATAACACAACAAATTAACAAATATTGAGAACAGGAGAATACTAAATTCGTTCATAAGAAAAAACAACAACTTATTTTTAGTAACATGGCTGTTATTACATTTATACGGACATAAGTACTCCTTCAAGGTCGTTACTACATTTATACAAACGTGAGTACTCCTTCACGGTTGTTACTACATTTATACGGACGTAAATACTCTTTCACGGTTGTTACTACATTTATACAGATGTGAGTTATCCTTCACAGTTGTTACTACATTTATACTGATATGAGTACTCCTTCACGGTTGTTACTATATTAGTACGGACATGAGTACTCTATCACGGTTGTTACTACTTTTATACGGACATGAGTACTCTTTCATGGTTGTTACTACTTTTATACGGACATTAGTACTCTTTCATGGTTGTTACTACATTAGTACGGACATTAGTACTTTTTCACGGTTGTTTATGAACATATAAGCTTCTAAAATAACCCAGTGAAAGAAAAGAAAATTAACAGTGTGTTAAATAGACACTAACTCAGTCACGTAGTTCACGAACCAATATGCACCTTACATGCTGCAAAAATTAAGGCTTTTTTTACATTGTTTCTTGATAATTAAACATCCGTATTGTGTAACAGAACTAAGATTATAACAGTCACATTCTAGGTATACAACTATTGTTTATTGTAATAACAAACAAACGCACATTTCTTCATTTACGTCATCAGAGCTCACGGTTCAACCTATTTACCTAAAAGGAAAAATGGTAGTAGGTCAAAAGTCGAGCTTAACACTCAATTCAGTAACTCCACCTGGTGGTGTTAGTGACTTCTACTGACTGATGCGGGATACTCCCCGATGTACGATAAGCTCAAGTCTCTATACAGAAGAAACTAGTAACATTCTGAACTCGCCTTAATAATTAAAGAACAGTAGATTTTCAAGAAAGTGGTGGGCTGAAATAATGAGCTTTCTCATGGACACAGAACAGTTTCGTGATCGTGTTTTGGATATGTATACCACATTTCCAGAAGGAAATAGGATATTGTTCAAAAAATAAGGTATTACCTCCAACCATGCTCTTACATGGAGTTTCTTAATTGCATAAAAATATATCTTGTAACATAAAATTATTGTAACAACAGTAGCCGGTCTGTTTTGTCGGGCAAAAACTGAAAACGTGTAGCAAATAGCTAAACCTCAGATATTTTATCATAAAACTTTAACAGTTTATGAAAATATTTTTAGGTCTTTCATAATGCACTATACTTTCTGTCAACTTTAACATCTAAAGTAAATACTTTCTGACAATTTCAACAGTCTAATGTAAATACTTTCTGACAACTTTAACATCTAAAGTAAATACTTTCTGACAATTTCAACAGTCTAATGTAAATACTTTCTGACAATTTTAACAGTCTACTGTAAATACTTTCTGACAACTTTAACAGTCTACTGTAAATACTTTTTGACAACTTTAACAGTCTAATATAAATACTTTCTGACAACTTTAACAGTCTAGTATAAATACTTTCTAACAACTTTAACAGTCTACTGTAAATAGTTTCTAACAACTTTAACAGTCTAATATAAATACTTTCTGACAACTTTAACAGTCTACTGTAAATACTTTCTAACAACTTTAACAGTCTAATATAAATACTTTCTGACAATTTTAACAGTCTAATATAAATACTTTCTGACCAGAAATTATTTATAGTAGACTGTTAATTATCAGAAAGTATTTATAGAGACTGTTAAGGTTGTCAGAAAGTATTTATATTAGACTGTTAAAGTTGTTAGGAAGTATTTATATTAGACTGTTAAAGTTGTCAGAAAGTGTTTATAGTAGACTGTTAAAATTCAACAAAGGTGCTGATTGATACAATTCACCAGATTTAGTTGTACGTAAACAAAGGTGCTGGTTGATACAATTCACCAGATTTAGTTGTACGTCAACAAAGGTGCTGGTTGATACAATTTACCAGATTTAGTTGTACGTCATCAAAGGTGCTGATTGATACAATTCACCAGATTTAGTTGTACGTCAACAAAGGTGCTGGTTGATACAATTCACCAGATTTAGTTGTACGTAAACAAAGGTGCTGATTGATACATTCACCAGATTTAGTTGTACGTCAACAATGGCAAAATACTTGCTCTATATTTAAGTTGTCTCATGATAAAAGTAATGACTGCATTTAAATAACAATTATTCTGTGATAATTAAGACAACAGATACTTTGTGTTGTGCGATTAATTCAAATTTTAATTTTATATTTAGATTGTATCAATGTGTAAATACAAGCGATTTTCGATACTTGACCTGGTACACGTTAGAAAATATTTATACTAGACACTTAGTTATCAGAAAGTATTTATAGTAGACCGTTAATTATGTCAACAAAGGTGCTGGTTGATACAATTCACCAGATTTAGTTGTACGTCAACAAAGGTGCTGGTTGATACAATTCACCAGATTTATTTGTACGTGTACAACTAAATCTGGTGAATTGTATCAACCAGCACCTTTGTTGACGTA